TGAGATGATTTTAACGTAGGAGTAAGAAGAAAACGAGGTTTGATAAAACTGTACAGTAAGATTAATAACTTATATTATTCATAAAATATTATTTAGGTGGCAGCTCATGGATAATAAGTGACGCATGTATCACGGATGAGAGATGAAAAATTGCTCTAAAAATTTTGATCTGAGGATACAAGTTGGAATAATTAAGGATAGGTGACAGGATAATATTAAAGTTGGTCTAAATGAAACAGGATATTAGGTTGTGGGCCGAATTCAAAATGTCACTGTCATATATTAAGTAACATTAATTTCGTTTCTCAGAAATTCGCATGACCGCCATGTTAACATACATGGTTATAGCGAAACAAAAAATAAGCAGATGGCAGTGCTCCTATAAAAATATAACGTTCGTAAAACGTCTCTTAAAATGTATCAACCGGTTCAAAAGTTATTTAGGAAGGGGGAGATAACACACGCACACACGTGCGAGGACATGATGCTATAAATCTTTGTTTATAAAAAGAAATAAACTGAACTGAGGACAGTAGCTGGATGTTTGGTGTTCTTTTACAACTGTTTAAGAAAACATTAAATTTGTCAAGTCCAAGCCAAAGACTCACTACAAAAAACCAAACCACTAAAACAGAGTTAGACGATTTTATCTGACATCGGGGATGTTCCTTTGTAGTTTGACTTGCAGAATTGGTAGTATGTATGAACACAAGAAGATAATACTGTGCTAAACAACAACCTTTTTACCAACATTCTTTACTTAATACAATATGTTAAATACGGTTTCCTTCATGTACACAAGAACTCAATAAATTCCATACAAAGTAATCTTGCTGGTATAATCGAAAATTCACCGGGGATAATTTCACGGGCAGTTAAAATCGACCGCGCCTACTGCAATATATCGAACAAGCCTAGCATCCACCATGTTCAGTACCAGTTTCAAATCTAATAGATCAATCCTGTATCGGAAAACGTGATCTTGAAATACATTACATGGCAACTACGTAAAATAAAACCAAGATTCGTACACTCTGCCAGTTCCAAACGATAGAATTACAACCATTTAACTGAAAAAAATAGAAAAATAAATTCTGGATTTACATCGTTCTTACTGTCTCGTTAGTATGTAATGTGCTGCGTGTTATGTGTTGCAGCCACGTGACAGCCATGGTAAAAGCCTTCCATAAGAATATATAATATTAAGCTGGCCAAAGAATTATTTTTATTGTTAGAGATTTTATTATTGACATCATAAGCTCTCGTTTGTTAAATACAAAGTGTCAGACTTTGGTCAAGTTCATAACAGAACACAATTTACCTCATCTGTCAGTGTCCATCTATAAACATCATTTCTGTAATGGTATCTAACACAGTGTGTTAATCACTATGACAACCACAAATACAAATGTATGATATTTAAGTCTGCTTCAACAGTGGGGGAGGCAGTTAATATTTTTCTTGTTGTAAACAAGTTGATGACGGCCTCAGGACTTGTCACTGGTGCCAAAAAGATTAACAAAAGCTTTAATAACCACGCGTTGCCCAAAGGATAGGAAATGAATCAAAACAGTTTTAAAGTAACTGTCGTTTATCCATCAAAAGAATCAATAAGAACAGGGGTGAACAAATTCTTTGGCAAATCATGGCGACAGCGTAATCAGTCTCATGGTTCGAATCTCAATCTGTATGCAGACGTTTGCGTAATTCTGTGTTTGCCTTGTGAATGTATGATCGCTGATCCAAGAAGTCATATAGGCTGTCTAAATTGAATTTAGAAAACCTCTAATGGCTAGACCAAGACCAAGTAGGGCTAAAACTCCTTGATGAAGACGTAAAAATGAGCTAAGTGTCGGAAAATAAATCACATTAATGTATTTTAAATGTACAGTTTCAATTGTATTCATGGTAGAGGGATTTATAACCCAAAAATAAAAATTGAAGTCGTATAAATAACGAATGAATATACATTTTGGACGTTTCTGTTTTTCAAAGCCTCAAAAGCAAATTATACAGCATAACTTTTCCTCTCATAACATGATCCCACATAATCGATACTATCCTCACATTCACATCTGCAGAGAAACCTTTCCAAAGCTGAATCAGAATTAAACTGAAACTCGCCTTTATCAGAAAGAAACACTAGTAGATTAAAGAGCAACGTAAAATTAGCTTTAACAGATGGAAACAGGGTGAAAAACCAAGAATTTGAAGCAAAAGTCTTAGAAATTCAAGACATTCCAATAGCCAATGTTTTATCGGCGTGTTTACAAGAACCGCCCACACCCTCCATTTTATTTCTTTAAAATTCATTTTAATATTATCCTTCCATTACGCCTACGTCTTTTCCATTCATGTTTCAAGACACAAATTTTGTATACATGTATCTACTTTCCCTTGCGTGATATATTCTCCGCCCTCTCGATTTTATCACCCTTACAATTATTTAAAAGTACAAATTACAAAGATCATCATCGTATAATTTCTTCTAGGTTTCGTGTATCTGGGCACCCCTGGAAGGTAACGTGGTGGCGACCTTCTAGGGACGCGGTAGGTATCAGTACTCCTGCAAGCAGCTTTGCAATGTCCCTCCGCCCTCTCTTTATAATTTGTAATACTCGTACTATGACGTAACAAAAATGTGTTGGGTGCTCTGCTATGCTCTCTGCGTGGCCGCGTGCTGATATGGCGCCGGCCGCCTGTTGAGACCCGCTAAGAACCCACCACTCCAGTGTGTACTGTGTGTTGGTGCGGTGGCGAGTGGCAAGCGAATCAGCTGCGATCATGAGGTGACGAAACGACCTCCCCGTCCGACATGCAACCCGCTACACTCCTCACAATAGTAAGTACACTGCTCTGATCGCTTTCAGTACAAAAACATTAAAATTATACACTTGTAAAAATCGCCTAAATTGTACTTAAATTTTGCGTACGTACCGCAAAGAAAACACCAAGCTTTACCATTACAAATATCAACTAATTAACGTTGTTTAAATAAATAATCGTTGTTTACATTGAGAATCATACGAAACTCATAAATACATTCTGTGGGAAAAGTTAAAATTTAATCATTGTTAAAATAAATGGTTATATATATAGTTACAGCTGAGTTTCAATGGGTTAAGAGTAGATAAAATTCGAGAAATGCTTGCTAACATTCTGTTTTCTGTTTTCGTTCCACTGATTAAAAAGTTGTTCTTGACATATGACAGGATATTATAATAAACCCTTAGGCAATGAAGTTGGTCAGATTGGTTTGCATTGGAAGGGAACTAACAAGTTTTAGGTGTTACCGTATACAATTACAACTCAGGAATGGGATATTTTTATAAATTCCTCAATTCTAGTGTTCTTAAGCACACTAGCAGACCCTAGTATTTACTTTTTCCACTGATGGCTCACTCATACTTATTTATCACAGAGAATGCTTTATTTTCGTTGCATTACAAGGTCACTTTAGTGATGTATTGCGATATTAACGTAACGACTGGAAACAACATTAATAATTATGTTCGGTGCCCTACAAAGATGCACGAGTGAGCAACTTCATCTAATGGTTGCTTTTAATATTTACGTTGGTGTAATTTGAAATGGCACAAAATGCATAATAGCTACGCAAAGTACACAATAATATTCGAGAAGATATTTCTCTTTCAACTTGTGTCATAAGATGTGAAGATTTTCGTAAACATATGTTGCCGAAACGTCCCTAAATATGCGCCAATATCCTAGTTAAAATACGATCTCTGATGCTAGTAATAAGTTATACTTTCATCTGATATTATTAGAGTGAAGTGAAGTGGGTTAAAACGACATGTTAACACTTTGATTCAAATGCCTTCAGAGAAAAGACAACCCTGGAAGACACAAGAGAAGATGGGAGACTTATTAAAGAAATAGGGACATTCGTGGAAAAATATTATAATAGTTATAGAGAAACGGGTCGTGAAATATTAAAATGATTCAGCTTGTTCAGGTTAGAACAGACGGCGGGCTTTTGTGAACGCGATAATGAACCATCTAATTTCATAAGAGATTTTCCCCTGAACAAATAAAAAACCATGAAGATTCATAAGATCCAGTTGGTACCACGCAATTTAATTTTATTTCTAAAACATTCCCGACCAGTCGTAATCACCAGTTGTCCATGAACTTCAAAACTTCAAACCCACATTTTCGCTCCCACAGCTTACACATCACTCTGATGATGGTGGCAGTAAACACCTACGAAACGTCGATCAGTTTCTACTAGATTAAGCAGTGCCAACGTCCCATAAGACAGTCGTTCTTTCCTCGTCGCCCCGAGAATTTGAAACCTCACATATTTTCGCATTTCCAAATTTTCTCGGTGTTTTACCCAGTAACGAACCAGGGATCTTCTTTCAGAATGATGTTACTGTTTTATGAACTGATATTTCCTTAAATGTGTGCAATAACTTAAGAAACCACTAGATTGTGAAACACCTTACACATCATGCTTTTTAATGACGCAGTAACCTATGCAACCTCTAAGAACGTAGCAGGAGGGAGAGAGGAAGGGTAATATAACATGCGCAATAGATATTTGTACCAATAAAGCGTTTACATCAAAATAACACAAAAATCACTATCCTAACTTCTAGAAAACACTTTGTTTATATTTATTAAATACAATGTATTTCCCGGTATCTTTATTGATATCAGATAATTTCTAATCAGTTGTATATTTTCATTCATTTCCCTTTAAAATTGTTTAATAGCTACGAGTCAAACTGAAAGTTAGACGCCGATGATATATTTGTAACTAATTACTTGTAACTAAATTGACATTCTTTGAACCTCGAGCTGTCGTCTCAAAAGTGTCTTCTCTTCCTCCTTCCAAATCACTTTGCAATAAGAGCAACATTGCGCTTTTGAGCCACTTTTGCACAGATGCAACAAGGGAGTCATCGCCCTGAAACTTTATCCCACTAATGCTGTCTTTCAGTTTACCGAACAGATGATAATCTGACGGTGCCAGATCAGGACTGTAAGGTGGGTGTGGCAACACTGTCTACCTTAATTTTGTGATCGCCTTCGTGGTTCTCAGACTGACGTTCGTCTGTCAGTTGCCGCGGGACCCATCTCGCACGGACCTTCGAAAATCCCGACTGTTCCAATATTCTGCACACACTGGCATCTGAAATGTCCAGTCGGAGAGACAATTGTTTCACAGTTATGCGTCTGTCCGCCTTGATCATGTTGTTCGCCGTCTCAACATTGGCGTCCGTCCGCGCTGACTGTGGCCTACCGCTGCGGGGCAAATCGCAAATGTTCGCATGTCCACCTTTGCCTGATGTTCTTTGTGCCCAGCGGCAAACTTTGCTGCGATCGACAGTTTCCTCCCCGTACACCTTCTGCAATCGCTTGTGGATGTTTCCCATCGCCTCGTTCTCACACACCAGGAACTCGATAACAGCTCGTTGTTTCTGACGAACGTCAAGGACATCATGCATCTTTATCGAATGATACACATGTACCATTTGCAGGAGAAGGATGAACTAAGTTTTAATAGAAACGGGGCGAATGTATCTGTGTGAATAGCAACATGGTAGAATAAAAGGGTAATTTTTTAAAAAAAAATTGGTCCATTATTTTTGGAGAGACCCTCCTAATAAGAAATTTGACAATTTTCACTCTTAACTTTTATATTAGAGTTATGAAAACATATGTAGGACAAGAAAACCATGGGACACGTGAAAAATGCATACAAAATTTTAGTTTAAAATCCTGAAGGAATTATAACACCTGTTAGACGTACAAAAAAGGATATTAAATTAATTTAAAAAGAAACAGGATGTAAGGTTGTACACTGAGTTCAACTGGCTGAGGATACGGACCAATGGCGAGTTTTTTGTACACAGAAATGAACATTCCGATTCCATAAAAATATTGTACTTCTAGTAACTTTGTTCAAAACATTTGTTATACAAAATGTCCGGTTCTTAAGCTCTTGAAAAAAAGAGCTTTAAAGTATTATATGTGTTTAAGTTCACTGTTACGAACTTTCTACTTCAAGGTGGAGGTACGTAAGTTTACAAATAAATAATTAAAATGCTGGTACATATTTAAGCAAATTCACTGTGGGTTTGTACCTAAAACATGTACTAATCTCTAAGAATAGGCGCTTAAACTTGGTAAAGATAACAGAAGGTTAAGAGAAAACGTTTGCTTTTTAAAATATATGACGTCGTCATACATCTCTGTTACTGCAATACATGGAACAGCACTTAACAGCAAAACAAAATTCACGTGTTTAAACTGCAGAAAAGTACACATAACTTCGACGTTCGGAAATATGCATTCAAAGGAATGTTGTTTTCCCAACGTTTCGGAAAACATTACAGTTGCCATCTTCAGAGCGACTATTTATCTTACGAGATCCGGAAGCCCTTATATAGATGGACAGTGGGCGGATGGCAGTGGTAGGTGACTTACGTGATTGGACGAACAGCTGAGCGCCGTGCTATCCAATAGGAAGTAGACACTTTCAAAATTACACGCGGTTTATTCCTGAAAGCCGACGTTAGGTATATACATTAAACCTAGGCTGCAAAGCCTACGGACAAGAACTGAGAACATGAAGGCAGCAGTAACTTTTTACATTTTGAGCTTTTACTTTATCATCTAGTTTTACAGAGCTCCTACATTCATATTTATATATGTTACTATGCGTACAGTAGGCTATATAAAAATTCTGTCACTCTCTCGAGTGACTTACAAAGTAATCTTCACCGTGAACACGAAAGTCATCGTTTGAATCTACGAACTTTCAAAGTAATCTTCACCGTAAACACGAAAGTCATCGTTTGAATCTACGTAAGCTAATTCACAACCAACATCTATATTAATGTTATTCTCCTACCTACATATTGATATCCAAAATGTTCATACCCCTCAAGGGAACAAACAGTGATGCTATAAACTGTTTAAGCATTTCTTTTCTCCTCTTAAACAATCCTTTTTGTACCCAAAAAGGCACTGGTATGAAATAATCCTACAGAGGTTAATTTGTCTATTTGTAAATCTGTAAGTCTGTATATATATATATATGTATATATATATATATATCTCAAGGATTTAATGATCAAAACAAAATATACATTTTTTCCAAATACAATCCTGAACAACCATTAGGAAGAAGTGTATCATTTGTTAAAATTGTTTTAGTTTTATCAGGATATGAAATCCATCACCCACACATTACAAACGATTCGATCTCAAAAACTATCGAATTTATATTTTTTACATAATCACTAAAGAAAACAAAGAGAAATCTAACTGAAACGGTTTAATAAATATAAATTTTTTTTATTATGACGAATACGCAAAGAAATGCAACTTAATATTTCATAGACACGAAAATTATTTAAATGCTAATTTATAAAATCAGAAGGTGCTGTATTTTATTTATAGATCTGTCAGTTTAAGTCTGGCACAGTGAAATTTTGTAAGTTTACAGTTCTTCACTTGCTATAAACGTAGAACTTTCAAGTGCAACATGGCTTTCTCGTCTCCTGAGTGCATACCACTGCGATGAGGTAAATGAATTTATTCGAACCAATTCACGAGGACACCTCACTACAGCAATTCTTTGTTGTTTTAACCCTGACCTCTGATATGCACTGAAAGAGACCAGTTCTGCCTTGTATGGTTTGTGCCTTCTTACAATTCATTATGTCTTTTCGATACCATCTGGTCAGTCGGCAGCTTAAAAGAACAATATCTGAGCTCACTCATACTTCCATCGGAATACCAGTATAATGCATCTTCAGCTGCAGGTGGTTTCTGCCAGATATTCTGAATTCATACAATAACCTTCGATGTTTAAGGACAAAACTTGCATAAAAATTGTCTACATCGTTTAAAAGACAACGAAAAAAACATGTGTTTTTCGCAAACTCCTTGACTTTTCTATATTGATTTAAAGACGCTTTATCACTAAAAAGGTTACGTACCGTTGAATTCAATATGATAAAAACATATTAAATGTAACAGATCTGAACGGAAGTGATCGTGGTCTACTTACAACCCCAGAATTTGCTTGTAAACACCGAGGAAAACCAGGAAAAATTATATAAATGCATATT